TGAGATAACATGCTAAAGTTGAATTTATATGCTTGAATTTCATGTGTATATACATGACTCTATGTGTTATTAAATGTATGTGACTATGTTGTTCATTATTGTATTGTGAAAAAACATGTTTTAAGTGATTTTGTTCCATGCCTTGTGTATTTAAATTACCGTAATTATAATGTGAAAGTATGGTACATGTACTATATAAATTTCTCTTAAGTATGACATGTGGTTTAAATATGAATATATAAAGAATTATAGCATGGAAAGGCATGATGCATTCATGTATGACATTGAGCATGAAAAGGGGAAAATTTTGATTTGAAATGGGAAACTGTTTTTGAAAGAAATAAAAGAAAATATTTTGGGAAAGGTTTTGATGGAAAGTTTGTGAAAACCCGGTCGCCTAGGAGATTGCCTATGGGTCTGTGGCGTCAATGTGATCTAGAGAGAACTAGGGAGACTGCCCTAGCGTGGTTGAGTTAACTGGGCCCCAAATGACGCCCTGGAGTTTGTCTTGTGGTCAGGGACAGTTAGCCAACCCTTCTCTCGTGTCGCCATAGAGCTGCCATGGGACGGGGTACATTAACAATTCGGGAATGATGGCAGAAATGGTTTTAGAAAAATGGAGAGTGATATGCATGACATCGCATCCCATTGCACGGCATAATTTAGTTATGATTTGGACTGTCGATTTTGTTGCTATTTTTACCCTGGTATAGCATGATCCTGTTTCTCTATTTTTTTTCTATTCATTGTTTGGATTTACGGGGTCACAAGAGGTGTGTCTTAGGCACCACCTACTGAGCAATTTGCTCACCCCTTATATTTAACATTTTTTCAAGTCACGGAAAGGAGGTGGTGGAGGACATCCCTCCACAAACATGAGGGGGAAACTTGAAGTGTGTTTTAACAACCTTTTGTAGACTTGAGCCATCATTTTTGTAAAGCAACATTTTGATATATATAATTAAAGTGTTTAGCATAGCCTTGTAAATTTAACTATGAGCCTTAGGCTCTATTTTGATGTAAATTTGAACAAAATGTAAGACTATGTAATATATCTTATTTGAATGGGAAAAATGATGTTGTATTCTATTAAATTACTGATGTAAGTGACCATGACATGTAGAACATTATTGCATTGTGCGTTGGGACTGGATAGATTAGTTTTGAAGCCAAGTAAAACCATTGTATTTTATATGTTTTTCAACAGGTTGTAGTAGGACTTTTTCTGTAGAGGTCATGCCGATTTTTTTTATTTTTTTATTTAATTTTTTTTAGTTATTATTATTATTTTTTGGGTCGTTACAAATCCCCATGAAATAAATGTTGCGGATAATTAATTCTCTCTAACCCACTCAACGGTCAATTATTGTTGAGAGTTAAATCCTTCCTTCATCACGTACAATGGAAGTATCATCACATCACATCTACACAAGCATATATGGAGATAACAATCATACACATCTACGCACAACACAATATTTTACATGGTTCACCCAACTCTAGGGTTACGTCCATGGGAGAGAGAGATTTTACTATTATGAATCAAGGAAGAGAATATACAACTACATGTTAAAACCCCACTCACTCACTCATCATCTTTTATGAGGCTACATGTATACACTCGGGAATTACGTATACTCACTACTCTCCTCACAACACTCCTTAAACCCCTTACATATTTTATCACTTCTTTCTCTCTCTAAACCCCTCACACCCATCTTTATTTATAGAGTCTTCAAAACTCAATTCCTTGTTAGACAAGTATTTCCCAACTTGCATACAAGGAGTTACTATATCAATCTCAACTCTCAAATAGAAACTTAATGGGACACAATTTCATTCACAAATTTCAACATTCCAAAATGGAAAAGAAAATTAATTTCTATACACAATTTTGAACCACAAACCCAACAATCTCCACCTTGGCTCGAAATTAGTCTTCACACGCTCCTTCATAGCTCCACCTCGAACAAGGATCTCTTCATAACTCCACCTTAACTGAAGATTTCTCCACCTTAAATAAAGCACTGTGATAACATTGAGAAACGCTTTAACAATCTCACATTTTCTCAAATTTCATCATTATTCTTTTTCACTGTCCACTCCATTGGTGTTCAATTGCTCATACATGACAATCCACTAATTTTCAACTCATCTTCATCAATTGCTTTTCTGGTTCAAAGCAATAAACTTCTCATCTTCACTTTTCATATTCCCCTTTGCTCTTTATCAGGCTTAGAGCAAACCCCTTCATTCTTCACACCCCTTGCCCCATCTTGAGAACTAGCACTCACTCTTGGCTTGTCCCAAAACTTGTTCCTCGTGGGCTTCTTCTCTATCACCTTTGCCCCATCTTGAAAACGAGCATCCTCTAGCTTATTCCAAGACTTGTATCATCACCTTCTTCATACCTTCGTGTCATCATCAACTCTTAATTGAATCTCTATAGCACCTCAAGATCATCTTCTGCTCTGACAAGTTTCGCACCAATTTTCTTCTACTAATCTTCAGGACCAATCACAGACTCTGACCTACCATCAACTCTAATACTACTTGTTGGGGATAATTAACTCCCTCCAGCCCACTCAACAGTCAGCTGTTGTTGAGAGTTAAATCTTTCATTCATCACACATAGTGGAAATATCATCACATCATATTAACACAAGCATATATGGAGATAACAATCATACACATCAATGCATAACACAATATTTTACATAGTTCACCCAACTCTAAGGTTACGTCCATGGGAGAGAGAGATTTTACTATTATGAATTAAGGAAGAGAATATACAACATGTCAAAACCCCACTCACTCACTCATTATCTCTTATGAGGCTACATGTATACACTCGAAAATTACGTATACTCACTTATCTCCTCACAACACTCACCCTTAAACTCCTTTCATATTTTCTTTCTTCTCTCTCTCTCTAAACCCCTCACACCCATCTCTATTTATAGAGTCTTCAAAACCCAATTCCTTGTTGAATAAGTATTCCCCAACTTGCATACAAGGAGTTACGATATCAATCTCAACTCTAAAATAGAAACTTAATGGGAAACAATTTCCTTCACAAATTTCAGCATTCCAAAATGGAAAAGAAAATTAATTTCTAGAACAATTTTGAGCCACAAACCCAACAATCTCCACCTTGGCTCGAAATTGGTCTTCACACGCTCCTCCATAGCTCTACCTCGAACAAAGATCTCTTTATAACTCTACCTTAACTGAAGATTTCTCCACCTCAAATAAAACACTATGATAAAATTGAGAAACGCTCTAACAATCTCTATATTTTCTCAAATTTCATCATTCTTCTTTTTCACTATCCACCCCATTGGTGTTTAATTGCTAATACATGGCAATCAACCAATTTTTAACTCATCTTCATCAATTGCTTTTCTAGATCAAAGCAACAAACCTCTCATCATCACTCTTCATATTCCCCTTTGCTCTTTATCAAGCTTAGAGCAAACCCCTTCATTCTTCACACCCCTTTCCCCATCTTGAGAACTAGCACTCATTCTTGGTTTATCCCCAAAACTTGTTCCTCGTGGGCTTCATCTCTATCACCTTTACTCCATCTTGAAAACGAGCATCCTCTAGCTTATTCCAAGACTTGTTCTCATAGGCTTCACACCATCACTTTCTTCGTACCTTCGTGTCATCATCAACACTTAATTGAATCTCCACGATCATCTTCTGCTCTGACAAGCTTCGCACTAATTTTCTTCTACTAATCTCCAGGACCAATCACATGTTCTGACCCATCATTGGCTCTGATACCAGTTGTTGGGGATAATTAACTCCCTCCAACCCACTCAACGGTCAACTTTTGTTGAGATCTAAATCCCTCTTTCATTACATACAGCGGAAGTATTATCACATCACATCAACACAAGCATATATGGAGATAACAATCATACACATCAATGCACAACACAATATTTTACGTAGTTCACCCAACTCTAGGGTTACATCCATGGGAGAGAGAGATTTCACTATTATGAATCAAGGAAGAGAATATACAATCACATGTCAAAACCCCACTCACTCACTCATTATCTCTTATGAGGCTACATGTATACACTGGAAAATTATGTATATTCACTCCTCCCCACAACACTCACCCTTAAACCCCTTATATATTTTCTCTCTTCTCTCTCTCTCTAAACCCCTCACACCCATCTTTATTTATAGAGTTTTCAAAACCCAATTCCTTGTTGAACAAGTATTTCCCAACTTACATATAAGAAGTTACCATATCAATCTCAACTCTAAAATAGAAACTTAGTGGGACACAATTTCCTTCACAAATTTCAGTATTTCAAAACGGAAAAGGAAATTAATTTCTGCACACAATTTTGAGCCACAAACCCAATAATAAACCCCCAGGATCCCATGGTTGAAGAAAACCATTAAAACAGAGACCACCCCAGGATCCCATGGCTAAAGAATGACAACAGCCTGTAGCTTAACCCAGAGTACACTGATAACATCCAGCAAGCTCTTGTCGGACATGATAACGCAAGAAAACTCTGCACTGGCAGAGAAGCCTCTACACAGACTTTTTATTTTTATTAATCATGATGTATCATAACAAGATTGTTGCACATATAGGACCTAAGTATAATCTTTATTTCAAACATATGACACCTTTACTTCGAAGTAAGGATGTTATATTATCAAAGTAACAAATTACAACTACAATTTTTATGCACAACAAATTGTGCAGCAATGGATATCCCCTTCCAAGTTCCAACTTAAGAAGTCTGGCCTTTGTTTTAAACAGTATACAAAATTTTCCGGAGGCCTAAGTGACGTGGTCTTTTAACATTTGCCTATAGTGTTGATTAACTATAATAGGCACAACGGCAATTATGACGTCATCAACAACTTTCCTTCATGATGTCTTTATTTTTTATTTTCCCCCCTAGTTGGTTGCCCAAAGAATTATTTGCATCCAAAAAGAGTCAAAACTTACCCCTATGGCTATCTTATTTTTTTTTTTTTTTTTTCAGCCCCCAACTGAGTAAAACCTTTCTATTGTTAATAAGCAAATATACCTTCTTCCAGATTGGTGTTACAATATGTACAAATTATATATTCTGGATCCAAAATGTCTGCATCAAGTAAATTAGACACATCTACAACACAGAGGGGTTCCCACAAACTAAAGTTCCCCCATAAAATTTCTTGCAATTGTAAACAGCTTCAGCATGTTACCCCTGAACACATTTCCAAGATGTGGTTAGGAAACAATTTCATAAATCATTTAACCTGCAGGGTCATCATCTTTTAAATTCATATTCAACACCTTGCAAGACTTTTGTTGGTTATACTCAGGTTCTGAGATACTCAATGAAGGACATTGTTCGATCGGATATTCCCTCTCATCAACTAAAGACTTCATATAAGAACATGGCCGATCTTCGGCTTCTATGTTATGCCCGGGATCTTGTCCCGGACTGAATGGCAATTCGAATGAAGGTGGGCCTGGAGGTTGTGTTCTCATCTGCACAGACCGCAGTAGTGCAGCCCTCCTCAAGTCAGCCGAGTGACACATGTCACTAGGTGATGATGGGAACCGACCTTCAGAATCTGATCCTCGTTGACGAGGCTGTGAGGATGTGACAGCAGGGAGAGAGGAGCAATGTGAAGGGTATGAAGCTGTTGAAGGAGCAGAATAAAACCCACTCAGTGGCCTTTGATACCTGTAAGGAGAAACTGGACTGCTGGGTAGGCTATCAGGCTGGGATAGACAAGTATTTGTAGGAGTTTCAGAGTATCTAGAGTCATCCGAGTCTTCCGACATTGGTGAATATTGTAAGGACACGTCATCCCTGAAAGCATGAAAGTCACCCAAGAAAAGAAGACATGAGTTCATTCGTTGCAAAGTGAAAGAAAACCGTTATTAAAAAGGCATAAACAGAATCATGTATAAAATTCCATCAAAGAATCAATTAACATACCAATTTCTAGTGTCTACTTACCTAATCAACCAACATAACCTTGAAAACAATATGCAACTAGGCAAATTCAGAAGCGAAGACCAAAGCTGTTAAAGAAACTTATGTTTGCTCTCACTTTCTGCACATTGTGATACTATTCTTATTATATCTTCAATTTTTTTTTTTTTTTTTAAACACCAATTCAACTCACCTATTTTTATCAATAGTGACAAAAGAGAAAACTCATGCACCACCTCTACTTGGTAAAGAGACATCATAGTTGTGAATTATTGCCAAAATATTGAGAACATAATTCCTTCCTAAATAAGAATGTAAATAGTTTAAATTTTTTCACAATAATGTAATCATCACACTCAAAACCTATTTTAGATGGCATTGATCTATACGAGTCCTGATAATTAACTAAACCACACTACCAAAAACCATTTTTAAGTCTATTATCATATGCAATCTGTGATGACTGCTGGGACCTTGAGACCCAAGGACAGATATTAGATTTGCCTGAGAACAAGGACACGACCCTTGAGCAGCACGCATCTTTATCCATTGATGAGGACCATGAGTAAAGGAAACGTATCCAAGGAATAAAGTGATATGCTAGGAAGCATGGATATGGATACGACATAATATGGGTACAACGATACTACCAAAAAAAAAAAAAAAAAATTTGATATGAGTATAGTAAGATACAACAATTAAAAAAACAATAAATTATAAGGGCAAACCTAATGCACGAGGCTCCGGCCATTGGAGGGTCTGGGGAGAGTCAAATGTACGCAACCTTAGCTTCACATGCGAATAGGTTGTTTCCCTATTTCGAACCCATGAACTCTAGGTCACAATGGAACAACCTTACTGTTGCGCTAAGGCTCAGTAAAAAAAATAATATATATATATATATATATATATATATATATATATAAATGCAATCATTAATATGTTCTAAACTATATTACATGGACTCGGGGACGTGTGTTGGATACGGATATGTATCCAAGCGTGGGACGTGTCAAATCTCCAAACAGAAGGACATGTGGACACAACTAAATATTCATTTCATTAATTATTTTATTTTATTTTATAGAGTAAAGTAATGTTTTTATCTAATATAATGTTCAATATAGGCATTTAACTCATTTTAAAGTAATAATATAATATAATTGAATGACTGGATATGCTTTTTAAGTACATGTCCAACCAAAAGTGTCAAACATATCCCATACCCATGTCCGAGCAATATGTGTCTGATACGGGTACTTCACTACTTTTGAAGAGTCCATGTAACATAGGCTCTAAATAAAGAAGCAATTAAATATAGCACAGACACCCCCTTGAGGTTTGCCTTAATTACAAGTAGATTGAACTTTTGGCGAGTGGTATCCTCACACCCCCTGAGGTTTGTTCCGTGTTACACTAACACCCCTGCCATTAGTTAGACAAGGAGTCAAACCTCTGACACCATGAAAAATTACTTGCTTACACTTTGACCTTGTAAAAATACTTCCATAACCTGTATCATTCTCTTAAATTGACCATTTTGCGCTAATATAACTTTTTTATATGACCATTTATACCCTTTGCACCATTTTTATCATTAATGGACACACACACGCACATATGTCTACACATGCATTACAGAGTTGCTACTTATCAAAAAAAAAAATACATTACAGAGTTGCCGCACCCTCTCTCTTATCACCACCACCACTGCCCCCACTCTTTCTCACTTCTCTCCACCACCGCCCCACCAATCTCTTTATTTCTCCTCTCTCCATCACCACCACCACTATATCTGCTGCCTTCACATCACCACCAACACTGCCCCTTCTCTCTCTCTCACACACACTTTCTACACCATTATTGCCTCTTTCAAATCCATATGTAAACCTCCCCTATTTCATGATTTTTCAATTTGCATCTTTTCATTACGTTTTCTCCATCTAGCACAAAATGCTTTGAATAAACATATTCCTTAATTTCTGCAAAACCCACTCTCTTCTGGCTTAACATGTGAGATGAAAGAGATTATATAGAATTGAGAAAAACAGAGAGAGAGAGATACAGTATTGACACACACCTAGTTAACCTTACTCTGCTCTCTCTTTCCTCTATCTATCATTACATGTTGAAGTGATACCTAAATCCCAACCTTGCTGGCAATATAAAACTCATGGCTTATATATTATGAATGAAAAACCAGGTTGGTCTCATGGAAATAAGGCTTCCAATTATCAGATGGGATCAATTGGGTCTTCTCTATCATGAGTGAATCGACCTGTAAATTACATTAAGAGGGCAAACCCAGTGCACAACCTGTAAATTACATTATTATCATAAACATAAAAGAAAATTGCAAACAAATTGATTGAAACCCATATGAGAATAAAGCACAAAAACAGAGATCACAATTCATCATGAATAAAATTCTCTATTCTTAAGATACGTTTTTACAATTTATACACCCAAGGTCATTGGCACCATCTTCGGCAACGCCAATAACCATACTATTAGCTCAGATATGATAGCCTAGAATCATGAAATTTGACTTTATTTACGCATATGTCTAGGCATAGAATGTATAGTGATTTCATATAGTTTCCTTTCTTGTAATATTAACATGTGCTATAAATGAGTGATTTTCATTCAAGCCTTTACACATTTCTGTTGCATTTATTCTAGTTTGTATTTCTTCTTGGTAATAGAGCCAGCACCTTTATACAACCTCCAGCAGCCTTGCAGCTTGTGCGATAACCACCTTAGGCTATTTGCGACACCTTGTGAAGCTACTACCTACACATGGTCCAGTGGATTTTTATTTGTCATCAAAAGCAGGTATTTCTAAGTTTTACAAGTTCTTTTTACTCTTCTAGGGTTGGGTAAGTTGGTATGGTTGGTCTCCAACATCTAGAAGGGCTAGGGTAAAATCTTGCGAGTCTACAGAGTGGTTCCAGATTTTGAGGAAGAGGTTGTCCTGCTTATATGTAAGTGGGCAGCACTACTAAAAAAGATTTCAAAAGGGGAACACGTTCCTAAGAAGAAACACAAGGCCTAATAGGGCCTCTAAAGCCTCAAAGAGTCCAAAACATCAACCATCTCCTCCATGGAATTACAATATCTCCGTATAACCCAACAAAAAAGAGTGTTAATAATAGAGAACTTTAAATCCCGCATAGAAGACTCATTTCCTTCAAAAGATCTCCTATTTCTTTCAAGCCATAAACACCACCAGATGCAAAGAGGCGTAACCCTCCAAAAATCACGGACTTGGGCCCCCACTATACACCCTCACCTTGCCTCAACCAACATTCAACCCACTGAACCCCAAACAAACTCAAGAGTAAGACCCAACAATCCCTAACCACGGGGCAATGCAAAAGAAGGAGATCAATTGTTTCCCCATCTCTCTTACACATGTAGCACCAATTAACCATGACCTGTCTTCTCCTTCTTAAGTTATCCTAAGTTAAGATCTCACCTAACACCGAAGTCCACACAAAAAAAGCCACCTTGAGGGGGACCTTGGATCTCCAAATAGATTTCCATGGAAAATAATCCCCATGGGCTTCCGTAATGCACCTGTAGAAAGACCAAACACCAAAACGACCCTGGAGAGAAGGAACCTACACCCATGAGTCAAAAAGGTCACCCGTAAGCTCCTATCTGTTCACCATCTCCAAAAAATTAGTGGCATCCTCAATCTCTCAATCCTGAAAGTGCCTCAAGAAACGCATGTCCCAAATTGTTCTCCCACTATCAAGGCAATAGTAGTCAAACACAAAAGCCTGTCTATTTATAACAATCCTAACGAGTCTGGGAAAAGTAATGGCAAGAGATAGATCACCAAACCAAATATCCTCCCAAAAGCGGATCCCCCTCCCATCCCCCACTTGAAATCTAATGTGTTTTGAGAATTCATCCCACCCCTTCCGAATAGACTTCCAAACCCCAATGCCATAAGGGATTATCACGTCCCTGGAGCACCAACCACCTCTCTCCTCCCCAAATCTACTCGCAACCACCCTTCTCCACAATCTATGCCTCTCCGCCCCAAATCTCCGCAACCACTTTCCCAAAAGGGCCTTGTTAAAAGGCAACAATCTTCTAAAAAAGTCTATATTTAGAATTTTCAGGAATGGTTTAAGTAGACACTGTTGATTGTTTATGGCTGAGGAGACACTTTGATTAGTTAACAGGATTTGTGGTGTTTTTGGAGTTGTTTATTTTCGTGTGATAAAGTATGACAGATTCAGGGTTCTCGACTATTAATTCTCATGGTTCGAGTTTTGTGGGTAGTGGTGCCATTTTTCCTATGACCTCATCGAAAAATCTAGGAGTTTAGATCACCACAATGAAGTTGGACGAATCCAGCTATTTGATATGGGCATTGTTTGCCAGGATGTTCATTGAAGGCAAAGGCAAGAATGGCTTTATTATTGACTTTGAGAAAGAGTCAAATCAGATAAGACATCCACAGTGGTTTGTAGATAATGCCATGGTTGTGTCTTGGTTAATCAATTCAATGCAACTAAACATAGCCGTTGGCTATACGTTCATGAAGATCGCTAAACAAATTTGGGATTTGGTACAACACACTTATTTTCAGAGGCAGAATAATGCAAGGATTTTCCAGTTGGGGCGAGATATCACCAGGGTTACTCCTAGTGACTTGACAATTTCTAGTCACATCGCCAGTCTTTGTGCTATTTGGGAGGAGATGTTATGATTCCTTCCAAGAGTGGAAGGATCCAAAAGATGCAATTTTATATGTGGGGATTGTGGAGAAGAATAAAGAGTTTCAGTTTCTGGTTAGGGTTAACAAGTTTGAGTATGCTCGTGTTCATTTGTTGGCCTTGTCTTCATTCCCTTCTCTT